TCAGCTGAGTTAGTGTGAGCCAGCTCACAGTTTTTTAGCCTCCGGCTCACCCATTTTTGTCTTCGCTCAGGGAGATTGGCTCCAGAGCAAACTAATTTATGCAGCACCCAAATTGCTGGCTCACAACTTGAATGCCGGTGGCTCACAAAGTAGAATTTTTGCTCACAAGACTGCACAGCTTAGAGGGAGCATTGCTGAAGACCAAACATATTTCCGACCTTTCAGCATCAGAGTATCAAGGTTTTCAAGCTCCGTCTTCATCTGTTTCTCTGCATGCTGGCCTTGGAAGCTCTGCGTGGTTTAGCGGATTTGGAGGCATGTTCTTAGGGTGGCAAGTTGTCTGTTTATGCAGAGTGCTCCCCAAGGCCTCGCTCCTTTTGTGTGAAGAAGTTCCCCCTCACAGCAGCCTCCACCTGTCGTGGACAAATTTGTGGAGGGACAGGGTCGTGGCAGCTAAATGGAACCTCCATGTTCAGCTGCAGTATATCTCTGAATCCTGTGGACAGTGCAAACGGCAGAGATGAACAGCTGTCTTTGGACCCCATGTGTTGGCTTTTTCAAGGCACTGTTGAAATTAGGGGGCTGGCGTAGAAGAACCTGATCCAGCAGGGATTCTCTTTTCTCCTTACGGATTTACAGTACAGCGATGGTTTTGATCCTGATTGCTGTCTTACAACAAATGCTCCGTGAATCTGTAGAAATCCTGAGGAACAGATTTGTGCCCAGTTTTATTTATTGACAGATTCCCCCCACCCCCGACCTGGGCTGTACCATTTCAGTCTGCAAATGAGTGTATATGTGTTTGCTCACTGTGAGAGTGAATCTCGCAACCAGTTTGAGACCCAGTTTGGTGTGGCGGTGAGGAGCACGGGCTCTGATCTGGGAGAACCGTGTCTGATTCCCCACTCCTCCACGTGCAGCCGCTGTGGTGACCTTGGGTCAGTCACAAGTTCTCTCACAGCTGTTCTCAAGAGAGCTCTCTCAGCCCCACCTACCTCACAGGGTGTCTGTTGTGTGGAGGGGAAGAGAAAGGAGATTGTAAGCCGCTCTGAGACTCCTTCGGGTAGTGAAGGGCGAGGTATAAATCCAATATCATCTTCTTCAAATGCCCTGTCATACTGCAAACTCCCCGCCATCCTGCCTATCAAGCTGTGTTTGTTGCTGAGCAAAGTTTGAGTCCCAGGGGTACCTTTAAGAAGAGAAGGAGAAGAAGAGATTGGATTTATACCCCGCCCTTCACTACCCAAGGGAGTCTCAGAGCGGCTTACAAACTCCTTTCCCTTCCTCTCCCCACAAAAGACACCCTGGGAGGTAGGAAAGGAGATTGTAAGCCGCTCTGAGACTCCTTCGGGTAGTGAAGGGCGAGGTATAAATCCAATATCATCTTCTTCAAATGCCCTGTCATACTGCAAACTCCCCGCCATCCTGCCTATCAAGCTGTGTTTGTTGCTGAGCAAAGTTTGAGTCCCAGGGGTACCTTTAAGAAGAGAAGGAGAAGAAGAGATTGGATTTATACCCCGCCCTTCACTACCCAAGGGAGTCTCAGAGCGGCTTACAAACTCCTTTCCCTTCCTCTCCCCACAACAGACACCCTGGGAGGTAGGTGGGGCTGAGAGAGCTCTTGACAGAACAGGTCTTATCAGAACTATGGCTTGCCCAAGGTCATTCAGGTGCAAGTGGAGGAGTGGGAATCAAACCCGGTTCTCCCAGATCAGAGTCCGTGCACTTAACCACTACACCAAACTGGCTCTCTCCTGGCTGTACCACGCACAACACCATACGATAATTATTATTATTAGCTTCCAAGATCTGACAAGATCAGGCTAGCGTGGGAGACTGTGCGCTTACTTTTGCAAATGGCATATTTAGGCTTGTTCCACAATTTTCAACAGTAGGCGAATTCATTTCTGGCCAGATCTTGGGGGTGTGTGTTAAACTATTCCTGTCTCTTAGTTTTACTCCCCCTCACTAAGACAAGTGTTGGCCATCCTGTATCTCTTTACACCAGAAGAAAGTAAGTTGGATGCTGCTATCTGCCAGTTTGATGTAGTGGTGGGGCTGAGAGAGCTCTTGACAGAAACGGCTCTTTTTCAAGGACAGCTGTGACAGAACTACCGCGTGCCCAAGGTCATCCAGCTAGGTGCGAGTGGAGGAGTGAGGAATCAAACCCGGTTCTCCCAGATCAGGGTCCGCGCACTTAACCACGACACCAAACTGACCACTGACATATACCCAGAAATCAACTCCTGTCGGTCTTAAAGGTGCCCCTGGACTCAAAACTTCGCTCTGCTGCTTCAGACCAAGAGGGCTCTCTCACCTGAATCTGTGTTCTTGTTGCTGTTGCAAACCATAGCAAAACGTCAAAGGCAATCAGACACAGCCTCCTCCACGTGCGAAGTCCAAGGAAGTCGTTACCTCAACTTTTATGTGCCAGCTCCTAACTTGTTTCAGATGGGGGCGCGCAGCAACGGTAACCCTAATTCCTCTCCCTGCCAGGACATCAAGAGGTGCTTGAGCGCGCTAGAAGAGCTGGGGAGCCTGCAGGTCACCTCTCACATCCTCCAGAAGCACACGGACGTGGTGGCCACGCTGAAAAAGGTAAGAGGCTCTCGATTGGGGGGGGGCGCCGTCTCTCGCTACCGCATTTCCAGACGTGGCACAGCATCTTGCCTGGCCGGGCCGGCTTTTGCTGATGCCGCGTTTCTTTCTAACCCGTTTCCCTTCAGCGAGTTTGAGTCTTCTTCCAAGTTTCTAGGGCAGGGGTGTCAAACAGGCGGCCCGGGGGACGGATCAGGCCTCTGGAGGGCTTCCGTCAGGCCCGCAGTGGAACCGGCTGTCTTCTGCTTCTTCTTCCAGTTCTGCTGGTGCCGCCGCGTCATCGTAGGTTTGCAGCTTTATAGATACACACCTGAACAGCAGACTCAAGATTGCAACAGCACAGACATTTTGATGCAAAAATTCAGAGCAAGAGGTGTCAATTATCAGACACTGTTAAATAAACAAAACGTTGCAAGAGTGCTGATGTTCTAAGCATGTTTTTTTTAATTTTTAAGTTTTAAAAAAACCCCTTTTGTTTGTGTCCTTTATAAAGTTGATATCTCCGCTACCTGGCATTACATTTTATGACACACACAGCCCGGCCCAACACGGTCTCATTTATGTCAGATCCGGCCCTCATAACAAATGAGTTCTGCACCCCTATTCTAGTGCTCTTTATCAATACAATACAAAAGCCTTTATTGGCATATATCACGTTATCAATACAGATGGTTCACAAATACAGAGGTAGCAAGGATAACCTGAGTATAGGGGTGTGCAAAAAAATAAATAAATTCGGCCCCATTTGGATTCGGCTGAATCAGGTAGAATTAATTTCCGCCAGCAGAAAGACTCCTGCATGTCTGTACGAGCTGATTGGGGAGTCTTTCGGCCAGCTGAATGTCCATTTTGGCCCCAGTATATCCTATAGGCCTTTGAAGTCAATGGCGAAAACATAGTGTATATTCTGGGGGCTGGAGGGGAGGGGGCTTAAGGGAGAGACTCCA